CGTTATGCACTTAAATGCCGTATCTTATGATTTAATCTTATCATAATTATCCGATCATGGAAGTAGTTTATTGACAATATAATACTTCCATGATCCAATTAATAGTACCTAAATCAACAAAAGAACACTGTAAAATATTTAAAAAATAATTCTAAAATTAAAAGAAATATAAAGTTTCTACACGCGGTAAAGAAAATATCGCTATTTACAAAATTAAGATCAGACATATGATTTTAGTTGTTAAATAATTTTGTTATTTGGCATTATTTTAGTTAACAAATACATCGTTATGCATTAAATAAACTTTGATAGATAATATTTTATTTGGTGTTTTGATATTTTATTGTTTCAACATGCATATGACAACAGACAATTGTTTAGATAAACCTTTAAAATTTATTTCAAGTATATTCATTTCAAACGTCTTAAACTAGATAATTCAAGATTTCAACAATGAAAATGAAATATGCAGCTGTAAATCACATGCAAATTAGATTAGAAATATAACAAAAACACATCTTCAACCTTAGATTAGCAATAAAAAGATCGATTTATCAAAGAACTATAACCGCAAGTTGTATTTTAAACCGATACTAGTTGTCTCCCTTTGTTAAATTATTTACAACAAAGAAAGAGGGTGGTGTCGGGAGAATTTAAGGCGTGTCGATGAAAATCTGACAGTTGTTCATTATGACCTGGTATAAACGCCACTCAAAAATAACTTTTTTTTTCTAGAAACTTCCCAAAATTAGTCACGGGGCCCAAAAAACGACCGAAAAAAATATTTAAAATTATAAAATTTTTCTTATCTTATGTATTTCCATAATTTTCTGAATTACGAAATCCCATAATATAGTTACAAAATTAGCCGATTATCTAATATTATGAAGTTTCATAATAATGTGTTAAATTAGGATATTTCATAATATTATGCAATTTCCTATTTGCCTCGACTGATAAATTTCAAAACGTTTTGCTATGATTTAATCTTTGCCTAGGAAGAATCTTTAGCTCGAAACAGAAAGTTTATAAAAATGACCAAATATTTTTCTTTGGTAATTCTTGAAATAAAGATCAATAAAAGAAATCAGCTTTAGCCTGTTTAGTAAGATTAATGAAAAAGTATGTTTTTATATTTTATTTTGTAGCTAAAAAAAGGTTCATTTTTGATTGATGAATCATGTTTTAAATTTAAACTTCAGGCTATATTTTCACACACTTAACACGTGTAGCTGTTTGAAATTGATTACAACAGTTACATGACACAGGTTAAACTACTACTTGTATTATGAAGTGTCGTCTCCGTTTTATGAATTTCATCTCTCTTTACATACGTAAACCAATAAATATGTATATAGAAAAGAAACAAAAAACATTGACATTGAACTTATAGTGTACATCAAAGTACTGTCATCTCGAAGACACATGTACCAGGTAGTTAAGCTGACCGTACTACAAACAAACGACGCATAGAATGAGGAACACAATATTAGGGGAACTTGTGTAATAATCCATCTTTGCAATTATACTAAACGACTTTAATCATAGTTGAATTACATCAGGTTTATGAGGTTGTCTGTCCGTTACATAAATCAACCATTGCAATAACAGGATAAACACGTGTAGTACTTCAAAGTTTATATGTGATACTAGTTTTCCCATTGAATTGTTATACATATTCCTTTTCGGGGACTTTTATCGCTGATTATGCGATATGGTTTTGCTCATTGTTGTAGGCCGTACGGTGGCACATAGTTGTTAACTTCTATGTCATATGGTCTGTTGTGGAGGGTTTTCTTATTGACAATCATAAAACATATTCTAATTGCTAAATAGGAAGCAATTACTACCAGATTTTCTGGTGTACATTTTGGAGAGACAATGATTGAGTTTTGCAGAAGCAAAATGGGACGCCTAAATTTAATGGTAAACATACTGAATTGTGTAAGACTTGCGATCAGTTTAAGTAAAAACATATTGTTTGTGAAACTGATTACTGACTCTTTAATTGTTATCTGAACTAATTATAGAATATTTGTGTCGGTCTCAAGGTAAAAAAACATTTCCGTACATCAAATTTGATACAATGACGAGTCCCTGTATCATTATCCTCTTTTTTTAAGAGCGTACAGTTATATCGATTGCTGGTATTGTAGAATCAGAATGGTTCTATACTATGCAGATGTTTAATTGAGCTTAGATGTCTGTGTGGGTTTTTTTTTTCGACGGAGGATGATTAAAACCATGGACTTAAGTCCATGTTAGTTTGAATAAATTTTTCTCTTTTATTTGTTCTTCGTGAAACAGATTCGTCGTTATCTATATTGAATGTTTTGTCATTAATCTGTTTTTTTACTTTCTATTTTCTTAAGGTTTTATCTTTATGTGAAACTGAAGATGTCATATAAGGTGTGAACACATTGTCAATGCTTACTGAATGTCATATTTTAAAGTAATGTACCCATCCCTCCAAATTTGGTCAAAAGCTTTTTCAAAGTCTAAAAATGCACTATAGAGTTTTCTTCTTTCTTTTTTCTTCAGAAGTTCAAACAGAAAATGTTATATAAATAATGTATCTATAGTGCCATAACCTTGCCTACAGCCACATTTTGTTTCAAAATATGGAAATCGTTAGAACATTTATTTAAACACTCGGTTAAACATGTTAAAACAGTTTACCCAAACAACTAATAATAGTCTATCTTTATAAACGTGAACTACACTCTGTTATATTCCCTGTAACAATAAACTGCAATTATCTTGAAATGTGTATCTTATTATAACAATTTAGTTCGGTTGTATAGATAGTGTCTGTATTCTCTATGATATTCATATAATGGTGTCATTTGCAGTTGTTAATATTAAAAAGATTAGTTTTATTAGATGCAGCTACTTTGTATATATTCACTTATTGTAATTCTTTAGAAAGATCCATGACAAAAGAGGTAAATGACTTGCCTCATAAATTACTTAAACTTATTTCCAGTCGAGAAGTAGATAAAATGATTTTCCTTAGGAGTTTGGTATTTTTATATACTTTTCTGCCTATTTAACAATATCATTTCGCCAATCGGTTTTAGAATGTAACTTTTGTTGACATTTTCTCATTAGAATGTTTTGTTCTTTTTACATATTTGTTTGTTTTTTATAGTGATTAAGATTATAACACAATGTTGACTGTTTTACCCCTTTTTTTAACAGTTTTATCTATTATGTCTGTTTGTTTTGTTCGCCCATCGTTATCATTATAATGGAATTTGATGCAACTCTCATTCAAGTGAAAGGTTTAGCTAGCTATAAAACCAGGTTCAATCCAACATTTTCTACATAAGAAAATTCCTGTACCAAGTCATGAATATGACAGTTGTTATAGATTCGTGTGATGTGTTTGAGATTTTAATTTTGCCATTTGATTAGAGACACCTTTTTTTTTAATTTTCCTCGGAGTTCTGTATTTTTGTGAATTTACTTTTTGTTGAGAGAACAATACGATAAGGGAAATACTTCTATAAATCAATGTTTTTAATCATTCTTATGAAACAGAATTTAAATCAAATACTTTGAATCTAATGAACATTGGCATTTTCATGTTTTTTTATTTAACTTCAAGTATATTTTTAGGAGTTTTGGATGACGTCCATTTTCACTGAGCAAGTACACAATTTTATCTAGAGTCTAGCTGACGCCCGACTCCGGTTGGGAGATTTTCTTGCTGTGTTGAAGACACATTGGTGGCCTTCAGCTGTTATCTGCTCTAAGTCTTTGTCGGGTTGTTGTCTCTTTGACATTCTCAATTGTTTTGAAAGCCAATACCATGTTTTGTAATGATATGTTTGTCTTCAATCCTTTTATCATCCCTTTGAAAATATTAAGTTACTGCGAATAAACCTAGTCTACTTCACTTGCCGGTTATATTATAGTCCTGATTTGAATTCGCCCAAAATTAGGTCAATGATTTTGCATAAAATTAAAGCTATGTAGAGACACAAATAACTCATCACTCGAGAATCTGCAATTCTTGTAGATTTTGCAGTTTTCTGCTGTCCGTAATATTCCCTTGATGCAGAATGCGGATTTGTTTTCCGAATATGCATATATACATATCAGAGTAAATCTATTGGACATCGGGAATGTTATAAACAAACTTCAAGATAATTCTGGCTGTTCTGATAATGCTTTTTATGTGATCAAGCTCTTAAAAATGTTTAAAATATTTGGCTTTCGTTACCTTTGTTCTCAAACAAACCTGATGAAATGGCAGAAACCGTAAGCAATTGAAGGTCACCATATGCACGACTTTTAACATATGGTATATTCAGCTATAAAAGGTAACGATAAGAAAAATTTGAAAACAATTCTTACGAAGCAATCTAACAGCCTAATTTATATCAATTATATTTACTAAAATAAATGACAGACACAAACCAAGGACAAGCAACGAAGTCTTCTGACTTTGGACAGGCACATAATGAATATGGGTGGGGTTAAACATGATTGTGAGCGCTTCATCTGCGTCTCATCTGGGACACCTCAACATATATAAGACATGATCAAATTAGTTCCAAATGGCCAAGCTCAACATATCAGCACGAAACACACAAAAGCATCCAACAGAAAATCGGTGTTGAGTTGATAACCTTTTAGAATAAGTGTATTGTATTCCATTGATCAATAAGTTTAAATTGATCGTTTCTCTTCTCAAATAAAATGCTGTTAAAACGACATACCCGTAGAAATTATGATATGACATTCCGTTTTTCGTATGAATTCTACAGATTTAGACAAATTACAAACCAAATTTTTGGATATTTTAGAAAATTGAGTAAAGTTTTTCTAAATTTGTGGAAATGAAGTCCGTGAATTAATGATTTACCAATTATACATAAATTTCGCTAATTGAAATCTTCGACGTCAACACAAACGCGTCAATCACGAACAAGTTTTGAAATGTACACGCCGTAAAAAAGCAAAAAAAAAAACACCACCATCAAAAACTTAGAAATAAAAAAAGTTTTAATGGCAAATTAAGTCAACAAAAGGAAACGATTTTAAATGTTAATCATTGTACAAAATTTTAATGTTAATCATTACGTTTTATTTAATATATATTTTTCATTTTTGACGCTGGAACTGTTGCAAAAATTCTGGCCGGTGCACCACTTCCATCGTATATGTTGATAGCAGGGACAAATATTGTCGATCCTGAAAGAGGGAGTCTGTCAAGATTGGCAACATTCAACACCACAGGTATGTTTCTTTGAAATAGAAATGTAAAATTTGACAAATCAACTTTACCCGGAGGTGAGTCGCCAATAGACGGAGTGTCACTTCCCACAATGTTAACAGAACGAAATTTCGCTAAAAATGTAATTGCTTTGAATTCATAGGATGGAAATTGGTATGATGAAACATCAGAAGTGTTTTGAGTATTGAACACTTTAAATGGATCTGGGTATCTACTAGACCAGCCGGAATTAAACAGAATGACTGCCCCCTTCGGTATTCGGCCATGAGTTGCCTCCCATCGTTTTATGTCCGATACTTTTACTCTGTAATTCACGTTTCCCGAAACCTGTCTCCTAATATCTATTATAACTCCAGGCCCATATAACTTGTCCAGTGGAATCTCGTGCATGCGTTTTCTGTTTCTGTAGAAGTGAGAAGGAGCATCTATGTGGGTTCCACTGTGTTCAGATGTACCAATATAGTTAGTCTCAAACCTATATGGATGAAAAATATATTAATTAAAAAACGAACATACTTAGAAGCAAAATTACCAGGCCAATCAAAATATTTTTTCTGAAATTGATTACAGTGAGATAATTTTTCAATAGTAAAAATATATTTGTCAATTTTGTTAACTGTTATGCCACACCTTTAGAATATATCTTTGTATAATCTGTAGTTATCGCATATAATTTTGCAAACAGATGATGACAATGAAAACAACGTCTATTTATCTTATTAAACCATAAACTTTTGAATTGCTTTACATGTTGGTAATATGCACCTTTTATAGTTTACAATGCGATATGGGTTTTGCCCATTTGAATACGCGGAATGTCATCTTTGGTAGCTAATTTTCTCATTTGCAGCCATAAAACATCTTCGTTTTTATCGGTTTTGATTTCTAATAGTAATAAGCCCAAACGTCTTCTTGTAAGATATGTATGACTTTAAAATGTTAGTGAAAAGAAAAGTTGTGTTTACCAACTCTGTATGCATCTGGTAATTTTAATAAATTTGTATACGTCCTTTTCATAAATTTGTCTCCTGTAACTTCATGTCATGTCCATTCGGTAAATTTCACTCGGCCTTTTCCCTGATATTTTCATAGAACTAACCTGTTGATCATGATATTTGTCAACTTGAGTTGCTTATATGTTCAATTTTTCTATTGAGATTTTACTGAAAATTTAGTTAATTATTACTCTAAGAGTGCATTGATTTCACAAACTGATAACTCATATTAATATTTCGTTAAATTGTTTACCTACAAAGCACCTTCAAAGTCATCTATGAAACCTTTAAAAATAACTAAGATGAATATTGCACTCATATTACACCCCAAAAAATCCTTAGAAATGCACATTATTTTAAGAATGTTTGTTACTCTGGTTTTTGTCTTGTTGTCGGATATTCGGAATTATCTAGGTTTTGTCATGTTAAACCATTCAAAACTTTGAACGCTGACCTCTAATGTAAAACTATCATTTTAAAACAGTCTTTTAGAAACCTTGTTAAATTTTCACAAAGGAGCGTATTTCCTCAATAACATGTGTAACTTACCAATTACCCCCAAGTGCCTGGCTGATAGATCTGTTTACAATTTCAAAACTGTATGCTGGAAAGAATGGAGCAGTGAGAGGTTTGGGTCCATGTACATGAGATAGGTCTACTACACGAATATCAGAACAGCTTGAAGGTGTTGCGGCATAAATCCCGTTTAATAAACTCACATATGAAACAAAAAACACGATCTTATCTGTCCAATGCATTTTTATTGTATGAAATTTACATCCTCTTGTGTAGAATATAAATAGTATCTTGTTTTAATTGTTTTAAATAGTACATATTAGCGCCCGTAATTAATGACATAACAACGTGAATGACCTTCATAACATATATATCATGGATGTATTAAAAAATAATTTCCCCCTTAAGACCGCACAAGGAACTAAAAATTCTAGGAAGTAAATATGTTTCTTGGTAAACTTTAACAAAAAAATATACATATATTGTAACTAGATTATGTTACCACTAAATAATGATAATAAGACAAAGATATAATTTAATATCCGACTGACGTATACGGCTCACAATAGATATAAGCTCTCCCACTGCATCGAATTAGATACCATAGTTTTCCTCTCAACAGTTCAATTTATAAATTTACGATTCGAAATTTTTATATGGTATTGCATTTGATACGGTGTAAAATCTATTTCTCTGATGATCTTTTTTATGCAGGCATACTTTTCCATGATTTGTAAGAGGAATGTGTTCTTTTTGTGAGTCATCATCATTGCATTGTTGTTTTTGTCTTAACACAACAGGAAACTAGAAGAAAGCAAGACAATATGACTCAGAATTTTATTTATACCAATGAAGAACTGGTATCAAAAACTTTCGGGGAAGTATAAATGAGCTCAGAATTAAAGAAATATCAAATACTTGTCACCGGTCGCAAATAGTTACCCAACAAATGGCTTATACCTGAACACTCCCCTGACTACTTGAGCGTGAAAATTAGTTCAAAGCTATATGGCATGTCTGACTGATATGCAATCCTTGTAACAAATTTGCAACAAACTATATTTCATTAAATTTTGTTTCAACATTCAGGCGATAAATTCGAAACCGAAATTAGGATATAAATGTGTTAACATGTCAAGGTCTCAGACTTTTTAAAGAATTCAATTTAAATTTGACAATTGAAAAAAATCATAAGTACTCTTATATATTTCCTTTTGTAGCTGAGAAAGGTGCATGTTTAATTGATGTTTTAAATTCAAACAACCGCTTCCGGCTATATTTTCTTAATCTAAAAACAATGATACATGTAGTTGTTTAGAATTGATTACCAAAATTACATGACACAGGTTAAACTACTACTTTTCTCGTCTCCATTGCATGGATATCATCCCTTTTTACATACATTAAACAAAAATATGTAAATAGAAGAAAAAACAACATCAAACAAAGACATTGAACTTATAGTGTATATCAAAGTACTGTCAAGTTGACCGTACTGCAAAACACGACTCTTAGGATGAGAAACAAATTATTAGGGGAATTTGTGTAATTATCCAAGTATGAAAGTTTACTTAACGAACTTTAGCCATAGTTAAATTATATCAGGTTGTCTGTCAGTTATATAAATCAATCATTGCTATAACAAATAACTTGAGGTACTTACTCTACAACTCATGCAGATTTTGCAATTTTCATCCTGTCCTCGATATTCCCTTGAAGAAGAATGAGTATTTGTTTTGCGAATATCTTAAATAAATGAGTAAATCTAATTGACATCAGGAAATAAACATTGAGTTTGTGTGTGTTGAACAATGCTGCAAACACACGAAAGTAATAAATAAAAATGGTCTTGGATTGGGTACCATTTTTGAACGAATTATATCATTAGAATCCACAAAGGGTAAAACTAGATTTAACAAAATTGCTTAATATGATAGTTATGGCTGTTCTGATAAGACCTTTTAGGTTTTGATACTAAAAAAAGTTTGACACAGTTGGCTTTTTGTACCTTGGTTCTCAAACTACCTGACGAAAGGGGAGCGGCCGTAAGAAATTATTGGTCACAACACGCACGATTTTTAACATATCGTATATTCAGCTATAAAAGGAAACTACAGAAAAATGTGAGAACAGTTCTTACGAACAATCTAACAGTCTCATTTATAACAATTATAATTACGAAAAAAAAATTACACAAACCAAGGACAACAGTCTCATGACTTTGGACAGGCAAATACAGAATATGGCGTGGTTAGACATGATTGATAGCGCCTCATCCGCGTCTCACCTGTAACAGCTCAATATAAGAACAGACTATACAAATTAGTTCCAAATGGCCAAACATAATGGCACGGAACACATAAAACAACCAACAGAAAATCGATGTCAAGTTGATAACCTTTGAGAATAAGTATATCCCATTGACTAATGAGTTTAAACTGAGTATATCACAATTCCAAAACGTTTTAAACAGCATAACCGTAACAATTATGATATGATATACCGTTTTTCGTATAAATTCTACAGATTTAGACAAACTACACACCAAATATTTAGATTCATTAGAAAATTTAGTAAAACATTAACTTTAACATCTTTAACTTTAGTAAAAAAAAGAAGGCAACAGTAGTATACCGCTGTTCGAAAGTCACAGATTGATTGAGAGAAAACAAATCCGGGTTACAAACTAAAACTGAGGTAAACACAATTACCTCCAAGCATCGGGCTGTAAGATCTGTTTACAATGTTAAAACTAACTGTATGGTGGAAAGAATGGAGCCGTGAGAGGTTTCGGTCCATGAACATGAGATAGGTCTACGACACGGATATTAGAGCAGCTTGAACGTCTTGCTGCTATAATTCCGTTTAATAAACTAGGAAATGCAAATATATTCGTAGCACAATGCATTTTCATTCTATAAATATTATACTATGTTGTGAAATGATTCAAAACGATTGTCGTTTTTATAGTTTTTTAGTAAAAACTTGTTGCTGCGCATCAATTTAAAATTATGACAATGCTTTGACAACCGATTTATTACGAATACTGACAAATAATTTTAATGACGTTCTCAAATCGCATAAGAATCAACAAGGCATATTCATTCTTAGTTATCTGTAATCATTTTCTCGAACATGAAAGTCAAAATAAAAAAACGTAAAACTGAATAAAAATATTAAAAGTAGAATGTAAAAGGAATATTTAAAGTCGCTAAAAACCTTTTTTGTTGCAATATCTAAATCAACCCATATTTACTGATGTCGTGGTAAAATTGGTAGGTGCCCACCTCTATCTGTTATGTTTATAGCAGTTAAAATGTTGTCGATCCAAGAAGACGGAAACATTGCCAACACTCAGTAATACAAGTTTGTTTCTATGAAAAAGAAAAAAACAAACTCGGATGAATCAAAATTACCTAGCGGACGAACTGAACATATGCGGATTGTTACTTTCAACAGAGTGAACAGAACAAACATTTGCTAACTATGTTAGTGCATTGAATGCAAAAGATGAAACCAATAACAATTAATGTCTCCACTATATACAAGAACACAGTCTCCATTTAAATCCGATTATCTTAGAGGACCAACCAGATCTCATCAGAAAGATTGCATAAATAGGAATTCGTGAACGGTATGTCAGATATTTGAACTTTATAGTGGTATCAAACTTACACACCATGTACATTTATATATTTGCCTGCCAATCTGTATTTATCTTCCAAAAACTTTAATTATAATTGTCCAGATGAAATATCTCAAAAATATCAAACTATATCGGAATGTAAAAACAATGTTGAAAACCCCAAATGTTTTTTTTTTCTCTTGCAATAAATGTGATGCTGCTCAGGTTTCATCTCTCTTGTTTTATAACAATCAATTCACATATGCAAAAGAGTCACATAATTATGTATTATTTCTGAAATGATCTCTTCATCCCAAAAAAAATTCCTGGCCAGCAGCGGATATGAGAATGAAGATGTCAGACTGATATATATCAGACATGCATACGCACCTTTCAATGCACACATATTGTTTATATGACATATTCTAAACGTCTCATATATATAATTAAAATGTCTCCTCAACAGACCTATACCTATAGACCAGACCATTGGAGATAGAAAATTAGGAAAGCCATATATGTATGACTTCATTCCATGTTGCAAATTTATATTTTTAAAAAGTGGTTCCCCAATCAACAAATTAAAAGAACAGACTCTTGTTGGACGTAAAAACATTGCTCATTTGACTTCTAGAGCTAAAAAAAAATCAAAGCCAGCTGAAACCAAAAGCAACACTCTGCACTAAATTGCAGTAAAGGGTTCAGAACTATTAGACTGAAGGAAAAAATGTATGATAATAATACAATAAATGATGAATTATGTTGATGAATTCTTAAATATTAATCAAATCGAATGACAGGATTTTGACACTGAAAATCTTATGGAAATGTTTGGGTTTTTCTGATTTACATTGTCTATGTTTGGGACTTATCAAGATTATCGCGTTGTTCGTTATGGGAATAGCACTTTACACTAAAAGCATAGAAAAAATCTATCAATCATTTTCAAAAATGCATAAAGCCAAAGAAGTACAATGCATTCATTAATTTTCAGCAGAAAAACGACATGTTTTGATTGATGTTTCATTTATAAACTCTTCCAGCTAAATTTTATTTATATTTCTGCACATGCGAAGGTCTACACATTCTTCTGGTGGTAGGTTTACTTACCAGTTACCTCCAAGCGCCTGGCTGTATGATCTGTTAACAATTGTAAAATTAGACTGTGGAAAAAATGGAGCCGTAATAGGTTTTGGTCCATGCACATGAGATTAGTCCACTACACGAAACTTCTAGCAGCTTGAACGTTGTGTGGCAAAGATTGCATTTACTAAGCTAAGAACAATCTTCTTTGTGCAATGCATTTTCTTCTACAAATCTAAAACTTCTGTTGTGTAACACATGTCATACTTTAAAATGAGTTTCGTCCACAAACGCATAAGTGATTATTTTGTTAAACATATTAACAGCTCAAATTATAATCAAAGTAGCATAATTACGTGTGTAGGTAATTAATCATCAGTAGTCCAAGTACCTTGAGACATGTATGTATGTATGTATAGATATAAGATGCATAAGTCATTATAAATATATAAATAAGGTTTGAGAAACACTAGACCTACTATGGGGAATAAACGAAACAATAAATAATAAACATTATCCTTGTAAAAAAGTATCTCCATCTGTCACCTCTAAAATGCTTTATTACGTGATTTGCGTTTCATTTGTTTCGACATCTTCATGTGGAAACCCTGATCATATATATATAATATATATATATATATATATATATGTGTGTGTGTAAGTAGAAAATTCATGTTATACATACGACTACATCTGGAACTTATGTATAGAATACAATGATAAACAGTTTCCTTCGCCATATCTCGTGGGACAAATAAACTCATCATAGATACCAGGATTGACATTTTATATTTACGCCAGACGCGCGTTTCGTCTACAAACACTCAGCAGTGACGCTCGAATAAAAAAATGTTAAA